GCTCTATATATATATATATATATATATACATATATATATATATATATAATTAGTGATATAGATATTTAATCAAATATTTAAAGCTCTGTGCTCAACAATTGGATTGTTCATGCAATGTTCTATATCCACAAAGTCCATTCCAAAGTCTATCAAAATTCCAACGATCGATCGCCGAACGCGACCCCACGAGGTCCGTGTGCAACTTCCGTGTAATCAAACTTACCTGCATAGGTTGTCCCGGTCGCAGCTGCAGCAGCAGCTGCCTGATAGGTTTCGTAACCAGTTGCAGCAGCGGCAGCGGGTCGCTGAGTATACGTAGCGGCAGTTGCCGCCGGGGTTACCGCGTATCCCGCTTGCCCAGTCTGATATGCAGCGGCACTGGTCGCCCTATTCGTGAAACAACGTTAAGCAAATTTATCACGCTGCGGACATGCGATGGCCCGTCGAGCGTCCACGCGAGAAATCGTGATCCGTAACGGCAACGCGGACGACGATAGGCACGAGGAAAATCGAGCGGCCCGAGGGAAGACGCTCGACGGACGCTAATCTCACGATGAGAGTAATGGCTGCCGTGCCGGCTGGGCCGCTCAGGCAGCGTGCCGTCGTCGGAAACATGACCGGTTCTTATCACTAACGCGGACGCGTGCGCTTACAGCCACGTATCCTCGCTTGTCTTAACATTAACTACTTAGTGAATGATAATACAGACGAATTCGTACCCATATTGCGTTCCACCGTGAGTAAAGCCGAAATAATTGTTCTGGGCCATCCTTCCTCGCGGAGAGAATCTCGGAAAGGAGGACAATGGAGGAAGTCGTAGGGCGTGCCACGAGCGTACTCGATAGAACGGCGGCGGCGCTGTCGCGCGCGTCGATTGGCCGGCCGGCCGTGAGCGGCGCGCCCTCAGTGGTCGTTTCCGCAAGAACCGGACGGCGCGCGCGGCCCGAACTGCACTTCCGCGCGAATATACGACGCGCCCGCGCACTGTCCTCCGCCGTCGTCGCGGAAGTCGCCGAGCGAGCTATAGCATTCGAAATCACGCGAGATTGATGAACGGGAGGATGGTGAGAGAGTGGCGGAGCGACGCGCACGCGAGAGGGGAGAGGGACGACCGGGCCAAACAAATATACGATATCTTAGTCGAGCCTCACAAAACTTACTGTGTGCCTTTCGGCTATTCTCCGGGACGCCGGGGATACTGAAGCTTGGTAGTGAAGAGAGCTCGCCTCGACAATTTTGCGGCTGGTCCGCGTGTCGCATCGCCGCGTGGTGCGGCGCATATAACATACGTACGGCGTGCGCGGGAGAGGACTTAAAATTCGCCGATGGGAAAACGTGCGTGCGTACGTACGTGCGTACGTGCGTGAATACGTGCGTGCGTGCGTGCGTGCGTGCTGTACGATACGCGCAACGGCCGTGTTCGTTTGTTCGGCCGTATGCGTACCCGAAGTCCGAAAGTGAACGTCGACGCGCCGAAGAGGCTCCGATTTCTTTCATCAACATCCTCTATCGGCCGCGTCGACAATCATTTTAATCTTCTCAGCCGATAAGATTACATAAAGAATTAAGTCTTATCAGTCTTTTGTTATCCATAATATAATACGAATCGATTGCAACGCGCAGACGCAATCACAATAATCAAATGATTGGAAAGCACTGCTTGAGAAATAATATTAAATTGCACTAGTCAATAAAATAATATAATAAATACAATTATCGCATAAATACATTTATATCAAAATTTAGCATAATTTCTAGTAAGCATGATCCTGCGAAAAATTGTTATATTTGCAAACTTTTTTCTTTCTTAAGAATAAAATCTGTACTTTAAGGAATATTCGTTAAATTTTGAATGTAACTTCCATCCTCTTTCCGTTATCTTTTCAAAAATAAAAACTATTTTTCCAAAAGTATTTTTCCAAAAAGATTACATAATTTAGTGCAAAGTGAAATAAACTTTTCGCAAATTTCATGATAACTATAAAATATAGACTTCTGCCGCGTTCTGTACGCAAGAAGAAATAGCGCACATTCCAGTAGCACATATCCACTCACATTGGCCGGCGTTTAGGAATTTTCCAGTGGATCACTAGTCAGAATATTTCATTGGCGCATCAATGATATGTGCGAAAAGTGGCGCCCGATGTCTCACGTTGCCGATTGGACAACTGAATATTAGATCTTCTGATAGGTGATTCACTAGAAAACTTCTAAGCTGACTAATATGAAAAAATGTGTCCAACTGCAACGTGATCAGAAGGAACGCCATATATCATTTTATCCTTGTTGTTCATCAAATGTTAAACAAAGATAAAATAATGTGACGATGTATAAATATATGATGTAGAAATAAAGCCAGTAGTAATGTAGTAAACTCAGTAATCTCGTAACTTCGATCTCTGCGGTATATACTGCATTCGTTCGCATGTTGTGTGTCAAAATTAACAAGATTCCGTAAATACTTTACAAATTTAATTGGCAAAATGCCAATTAGATGCGGCGGCATCTAATTTCGTCGCGGCGAGCTAGAAATTATATCGATTTATCGTTAATTTATCACTATAGTTCTCACGTTCTATTGGAAAATCTCGCAATATCAATCAAAATGCATCTAGCATTTTTCTTTTTCCTATTAAATTACTTGTCGTTGTCATTGGCGTCTAAAAATATCGTGCTGATTGTTACCGATGATCAAGATTCTGTTCTAGATGGCATGGTAACGTCTTTAATATTATTTTCCTCGAAATTATTAAAAAGATAAAATAAAAATAAAATTTTAAAACGACAAATTTATAGAAGAGACTACAATTTGCATGAAATTATAGAATAAAATTTAAAGAAAATTTAGAAAAAAATTATTTTAATGAAAAAAGTATTGTATAAAATGTTACTTTGAATGTGTATGCTCATTTTGATTTAATTTATAAATTTTAGACGCCAATGACAAATGTGCTGAATCTCATAGGACATCAGGGTGCTACATTTGCAAATTGTGTAAGTTTATATAAATATGGAAATAAATGTATCATTTCGAATTTTATGTTTGTAACGTGTTTGTGCCATGTCAGTTTGTAGCTTCGCCAGTTTGTTGTCCCAATCGAGCTTCTATTTTGACCGGACGATATCAACATAATCATCTAACAGTGAATAATTCTATCGCCGGTGGTTGTAGTAGTACGCAATGGCAACAATTTCGAGAGCCGGCAACATTCGCCACTCTTTTGCAACTCGTCGGATATAAGACATTTTACGCGGGAAAATACTTGAACCAGGTAAACTGAGAGATTTTTAATCAAGGTTACTCAAGTTGATTGAAAAAAATCTACTTCTATATTTAAAAACAATCATAATTTACAAATAAACAAAAATAATTTTGCTTTTTACTTTTTGGCATTTACTTTTATAAAAGGATTATTTATCTGAAAATTTGAGATTTCTGACACTTACAAATTAAAGCTTTTAGCTAAAATTTTTTAATTTTTGCATAAGAAATATTTAGTTTACGAAACTACTTTGAACTTTGATAAAAATGCATCTGTTCGATTCTCTTTTTACTAATAAAAAAAGATTTATAATAAAAATTATTAAAAAAATTTTAATTTTTCCTCGATGTCATGAAAAGAGTAATTGATTATTAAAAGTTTTATTTTCAGTCAAATTAGATTAAAAATAGTATATGAATAATTAATATTAATTTACATCACTTTGCGAGAGAATAAGTTACAAACTTATTTAAAATAACCTAATTAATTGATTCATTAAGTATATAATTTTACATAAGTTTGTAACTTATTCCCATGTAAAGTGATTCAAATTAATTACTATTAATTATTCACATGCTATTTTTGTTTTATATATTTTTGTTTTCTATCGCTTCTATCGACAGTTTTTACTTCTGAAAAGTTTTTAATTTTTATTTTTAATGCTCAATTGCTTTTTACAGATTTTTTTACTTTTCTTTTAATGATAATTTTAATTTTTTGAATGCTTTGCTTTTACGCAAAACAATGTGTTTTCTATTCTAATTAAGATTTATAGAAAAACTCACAACTAATCATTTATCTTCTCTGCTTCTCTTTCACAATTATTACTTGCGATGATTAAACTAAATAAAAAAATGAATGCACATGTAACAGTACGGAAACAAAAAAGTCGGCGGAGCGGCACATGTGCCTGTGGGATGGGACTGGTGGGCCGGTCTTATAGGAAACTCAAAATATTACGATTATTCGTTATCTATAAACGGTACCGAAGTAAAGTACGGTAACAGCCCGAGCGATTACCTTACCGACGTGATTGTGAGTACATGTGAAAATGTTCAATCGAGAATAAAAGTCTTGTTTTATTCAGTTTTTATTGAGTAGCGAGTAGCGAGTAGAACTGCATTTGTATAAAGTTTTTCTCTATTTTTTTTTTAAAGAAAATAATTCGGTAAAAATAAAGATGATTGCACTCATATCAAGTTTCTCACTCTTTTTTAAAGAAGAAACTGGATCAAGATGAATTTACTTACTTTCAGTAAAAAATGATCAGTTGAAAAGATGACAAATCAACAAACAATTTTTTAGCAGATACAAAAAACAGCCATACATTTTGTAATATATTGTAATATATAGAATTCTAGTTGGATCAACGAAAAATTTTTTTGAGTAAAGTAGAAATAGTTTCGAGAATACGTACTTGTTTTTTTCATGTTTCTTTTTTTATTTTGATCTACACAAGATAATAATAATTATATGCCGATCATGTGTAAAAAATATGAATTTTGATGATTCGGATTGCACGAAATACGAGATGAAAATAATAATGTCAATCATGAATTATAATTATATATTTAAAAAAAAAGACATTACTACACCCAATAGAGATGAAGTTCGACTGGTTGAAAAGTGATGAAAATGCATATTAATATTAATTATAACTATTTCTCACTGGATTTGCACCGAGCTTTTTTTTTAAATCTAAAAGTTTACTTAAAGAGGTGGGAAAGATTGGTACAAATGCAATTTTACTCACTACGTTTGAGTTAAATAACACTCATTTTTTTGCTCTTCTTATCGTGCATTCAAAAAGGAACTTAATATTCTTTCATCTTTTAACTTTGTAGCTATATTTGAACTTGCGTTACTTGTTACTAAAACGATAAGAAAACCACCATTTATATATATTCTAGAATAATTTGGCTACAGATTTTATCAAAGGCTATTCTGGCGATCAACCTTTCCTTATGGTATTAGCACCTCCAGCTCCCCATGCGCCATTTACACCCGCCAACAGACATAACGGCAGATACAACGATACGAAAGCTAAGAGAACGCCAAATTTTAATGTGTCCATACATCAGGTTATAGCATTTGATTACGCTATTTTTTGAAATCATCCGAATTTTTAAAATTCTCACTTTAAAATAATTCATATGATTTATATTAAAAATTAAAAAAGAATTCATATATATAGTTCTATCTGTTATCTTATGTAATATGAAAAATATTTGAAGAATTCAAGATTCATACTCACATATATAAAACATATATTATAATACCAGTATCAAAATATATAATAAATTGAATTATAAATAAGTAATTCTATTAAATATGAATACACGAATACAGACCTTACTTAATTAATCTTTCTTCTTAAAAAAAACAGGATAAACATTGGTTAGTTAGGGAAGCTCCAACTCCTTTACCAGATAGTATATTACCAAAATTAGACGAGATATACAGGAAGAGATGGGAAACTTTGTTGGCGGTTGACGAACTCGTCAAAGATATATACAATTTATTAGAAAAACAGCATCTCTTGAACAACACTTATTTTATTTACACCTCTGACAATGGATATCACATTGGTAGGTGATTTAATGACACACTCAATATTGTTAAATATTAACCGAAGTATAAACATGTAATGGAAAACAGGAAGCAAAAAAACTGGATTTACCCTTATTTTTATAATCGCTTAGACATTGAAGACTTTAGAATTCTTCAGAAAATATAGGAGTATAGCATTGAGCAATTTTAACATTTTATTATAAAAATAAATCATTTATTTTATCATATTTCATTACCGTATTTTGTCGTGCGGCGTGTTGTTTTTCATGTTTCCGGTAGATGGTGCCATCTTAAATTTTCATTCCCAATTTTAAAAGCTCTATATATAAATATTCTTTTAATACGTTTGTTACGACAAATTTGGAAAATATTTCGTATAAACTATACATTTTTAATAATAATTTTAAAACACACATATGTGATATTGGTCGCTCATGATAAGTCAATGTCTATTTAACATCAACAAGGAATGTTAAACAAAGAGAAGAATATTAAACTATATAATTGAGTTAAATTATATTTATAATTGTGATTATGTGTTTTCTACACATTTGTACAAGGCTTGTATTATTAGGTCAGTTCAGCATGCCTATGGATAAACGTCAACCTTACGAAACAGATATACGAGTCCCACTATTGATATCTGGTCCAGGAATTGAACCGTCTGTAATTTCCACGCCAGTCAGTAGCGTAGATATCTTTGCCACGCTTTTAGACATAGCTGGCATAAAGTATCCATCGGATGGCACGACACTATTTAATGCAAAACATAATAAAAAGCGAGATCGTACTGTTTTAATAGAATATAGAGGAGAGAGATCCTACGAAGCTACGACGTCCGGTTGCCCAAGCGATTACGATTTGAATGTCACAGTAAGTTGCAAAAATTTTTAAATGTATATTTATTCCTATAAATTATTAATCTTAAATTTAAGATTATTACATTAATTTTGAAAGTGGACACAGTTTTTTTTTTTTGGCACTTTAATTCTGGATATGATTTTTGAGGTTCGGTTATATCATTTTAGAAGTATTAGGTATTTCAAATGTTGTTTCAGAATTCTGAAAAATCACGCATTTTCTTTGAAATGTCAATTAAATTACAATATGATTAAAATTTTTAAAAAAGGAAAAGAAAATTATTTTTTAAAGTAACATAATTTCTGATAAACTAAATATTCTAAATAGTTTAGAGATATAAAATATCCAATATAATGTCCAATTTGAGGATTAATTTCATCTTTCTATAGTTATGCGTGAAAGAAATGGCATGTAAGTGTCAAGATGCCGCGAACAACACATTCAGTTGCATTCGCCGCGTTTCGCCAAGCTTCAACAATATCTTCTGTATTTTCGAAGACGATCAGGTATTATCTGCATTTTGTAACATTCATAAACGTTTTAAAAATACGCTAGAGATTTTTTTATTATTTTCTTTAGAGATTCAATGAAGCTTATGATATGAGCGTCGACGAATATCAAATGATAAATATCGGATACACCATGAAGAGAGGATTGAGACACAAATTCAGGAAGCGTCTTAAAAGAATGGCAGTGTGTCGAAATGAGGAATGCGTTTTTACATGATCAGTATATAAATCAAAATAATTACATTTATTACATTTATTATGTTTATGTTTATGTCATTAATTATCTTTATACATTCATATATCCGTGTGTCATATATTCGTGTATTATTACAATAATTATCGTATAATAAAGTCAAGTCACGAGTTCTAATTAAAAAACGACACTTTAAAATAAATAAATTTATATGAATTTATTTTTTAATTTCTTTTTGTTATTAATTAAATTATTTTATTTCTTGCACATTGATTTCTTAACGATAAAAGGTTTGCTTTTGAAATATGAAATTCGCGATCTGCTTCAATCTGACTTTCAAATTACAATTTTTCGAAAGATACGAAAAAACTAAACCAAATTTAATTTTTATATATATTTTTTGTGGAAATAATTCTCATAAATTTTCTATTTTAATAACTATATGATTATTTTGGGAGTGTATTCGACATAACTTTAGATTCTTAATTAATTATTTTAAAAAGAAATAAATTTACATAAATAATATGCATATAAAATGTAATTTTTATATATATAATTATAAATATAAATTGTATATTATGTATGTACATACATAAATCAAAAAAACGAAGCCTAAACGAACGTTCACGAAAGTTTCTCAGTTTCTTTTTAGTTCAAAGTTCACCCCCTAAAGTATTGATGATATAATTAAGAATCACCCTATACATCGTCCTAGATCAGAAGAGCGCCGGAAGTTATCTTATTTCGAATTATTGCATTTATGGAAATCGCCGTCGGAGAATACGCCGCGAATCAGGATATAAGAATAACTCGCCTTGCGCTCGCATGCAAGAGGGAGGGACGCACCCCCCCCCGCGACGGAACTGTTTTCTAAGCAAATATTTTTATTAAAGCCCTGCGGAGAGAGTTTCGAATATCTGAATAGCAATGGCGATATTCGTGAAGAAAAGAGAGGGCGGCGGAGGGGGATGAGGGAGAGTGGAAAAAAAGCTGAGCGTCGAAGACAGAACGCGAGAGACTATATCGGACGTGTACATATTTATATTGCTAAAACGTTTCTGGTTCCTTCGAGGATTTGCAGCGATGCGCGTGAAACAACGATCCTCGCTATTCGATATACTTTAGCTTGCTCGAGCTATTATTTCACTTGTAAGCGATATAAGCTATTTCGATTCACGCATAACGCAGATGAATATGAAGAAATAATACCCCCCTCCCTCCCGTCCCTTCTATTAACATCTTTTATGGATTTCAGATTTCTTTTGTTTTAATACCATAAATTATATACATTAATAATTGATATATATATGTAATACAAATTTTGAATAAAACATATAAACGTGAATATGTATAAAAAAAAAAAACAATATAAAGAGATATTTATATAACATCTATACATTATATTAGATGTATATTTATAATCATAAACATATATAAAAAAGTTTATTGTACACAGAAGGATGAAACCTTCGTGTATCTCTCGATGTGTACACGAAGAATAGTTAGACACCGAATGCACGAATATTCTTCAAAGTGCAACGAAAGGCTGATGAGCGCTGGCAAAGCACAAAGCATCCTAGATTCGCCCCTTTCGGTGTCAAGGAGCGTGAGAGCTCTTTCACGTAATGTGAATGAACGTCAAAATGTTTGTGGTACCACTACAGTGGTAGCCAGCCACGGGCCCGTGGACCCGTTTAATCGTTTGCACAGATGGCATTACAGCGAATCTATCGGCCTCGTGCGCGAAGATCGTCTTTGAGATTATTCGTTAGCGAAGCTGCGGCATTCTCGGCGACAGAGCCGAGAAAAGGAAACCGGGACTTATTCCGCAAGATTTGCAATTTCGCGATCCATTTTTCCTTGGAAAATAAATGAGTTAAAATGAGAAGTCGCGAGAAGAATTCCGTTCTGCGAAATTGAATGGACAAATACGAGTAGAGAGTAGAGATTTGAAGGAAGACAACGCAATTGCAAAATTCTAATTTTAACAATCGTCAATTTACAATTTCGCAATGCAAAATTCCTTTCGATCGTATCTCCTCTGCGGAACATCTTCAACTTTTGTATCTTGTGAAATTCTACACGGTAATTCTTCTCGAAAAATAGATCCTCGCGAATGATAGATAATCTGATTCCGAATTTACGGTAACTGTCTTTTCAATTTTCTTTCGGATCCTTGAAAATCAGTATTTCATCGATATTACATAGCAGTTCGATTCGATACAGTTAGACGATCTACATGTAACTCGATTGTATTTTCCTGACAGGGAGGCAACGCGGGCGAACCGATGCCATTGTATGAGGATTTTGGCGGATCCTTCAATCCTCGATCGATCGATCGCTCGATTGGGCGTTTAGTGATCTTCGTTACATCGTTGCTGAAACGTGTAAGAGTCGGCTTGCGGACGAGTCCTTTTATTCCGTCTGTGTATTGATCGTTCGAGCGAACGATCGCCTCCTTGTTGGCGAGGATCAATGGCTTTCGTTGCCTTTCTAGCCGTAGATCCAAGCTTACTTCACCCCCTCCTTCCATCGTCTATCCGGGGGGTTCTAGCGGATACTTATGCCAAGTTGCACTTATATCGCGAGGAGAATTACAAAGGGATCGAATACTAAGACTTAAGAAAAAAAAAAAAAAAAAAGAAACGCCGAATAATAGATCTTCTCTAAAAGATTTACATATATTAAATACACACCACACACGTGTAGTTTATTGTACCACGCTTTAATTTGGAAAAGAAGATGCATACTATGTTTCTCCGTATTTTTTATTTGCATTTTCTCTTTTCTACCTGTACCGTCAATCGATTCTTGGTACATAGTTCAAAAAATCAATCTGTTAATTATTGTACTTGTTAATTATTGTGATAATATTCATATAATTATAATATTGTATAATAATAATATTACACAATGATAAAACGATTTGTTGATCTGCGTCTTTATCGCAATGATAGCAGGTCACGAGATATCCCGATCTCGCTGCTTCAACATCAAAAATCACGACGTTTATCGGGCGCATTAAAAACTAAGCAATTTACAATCTCGAATTTTCCGGTGATCTGTCTTCAAACAGCATCCCTTGTTATTCGATAATTAGCCGTTCCCTCTTTCGGTGTAACATAGTGCGAAGCGAAGCGTATCCTCTGATTTTCCTTTGGCCGACTCGCGCCTTCTCTCCTCTCCTTCCCCCCCCCTTCTCTCTCTC